CGAGCTCTGGGTGGGGACCCTCACCTCCTTCCACGTGGGCTATCAAAGAATCATCCAAAGATGAGGACTTTGGGTCGCTGCCTGCCTGGGCTGGCTCCAGATGCAGCCAAGAGACGGGGGGGGGTTCCTGCACGCCGCGACTCCTGAGCCATCCATCCCTCTCATTCCTCTCTCCTGCCACGGCAAACATGGGGCTCTTCCCTATTCCACTTCACACACAGAAATTACCACTTACTTCCCCTTATTCAGAAACTGATATGGGCTCAGAGCAAATGCCAAGAGGAGTAAAAGCCCCGGATAAGAAATCCGTATCTCCGTGACACTGCTGGTTGAATTTATTAATATCTTAATTTTTTTTTTTTTTACATCAGTTTAAGAAATAGTTTTTTAAAAAAGGACAAAACCCTCCAAAGAAGCTGTTTGATTGACTGATCAGTTGATTGATTCCCTATTTCATGTGAACTAGTTGCTATTCTGCTTAGAGGTCCCTATGATCTGTGAATCCCCACAAGTACTGACGATTAAGGATGCAGAGATAGAGAAGCGTGTAGCTGGGGGACGAACACCAGGGGAGGGGGGGATGGAGAACCGAACGTCGCGTCTAGACAAACAAAATAAAATGTGTTGGTTGGTCGATTGGTTGGTTTGTTAACAGGAATCAGGTGCTAGATGTGTAGAAAAGCCCTTTATCCAGAGATCTCCTCCCGCTGTTCCTTGTTCCTGCGAACTTCAGCTGCGTGCAGTTCCTGCAAAGACGGGAGAGATGACACCAGGCTATCGCTTTCTGCTCTTGCAGTCCCCGTTTTCCTTCTCTCCTGCACACAGGATTTGCATCGGACGAAGGAAAAAAAGACCAGTTTCCCACCCGACACACCCCGAGGACAGTGGGTTACGCCTGCAAGGAGGGAAGCATCTCATCCGCGGGAGCCCGGCGGTGACGGGAGCCTACAGCGCAAGGCTCCACAGCCCGCTTTCCACCAGCAACGAAACGCCCGCTCCCCTGTGCCCATCGCACCGGGACGACCCCGCAGGGACCAGACCCCAAGCCCCCCACCCCCGGGCATCAGCCCCCAGCCCTCTCCCCGAGCATCGCACTCGCCTTCTCGCGGAGCCGCTCCCTCAAGGCAGCGAGATGTGCTTCGCGGATCTCCCTGCTCAGCTCCATCTTGTAGTTGAGCTTCTCCTCGGCCAGGCGGCTGAAGTTGTTGTTCTCCTCCAGCGCCTTGTGCAGCACCTCCCGCTCGTGTTCCCGCTTCTCTGCCAGCTGCTTCAGCCCCTGTGCCTCCTGGGTCTGCCCAGGTAAGGCGTCGGGAGAGGTGTAAGGCAACCGAAGAGCCTCTTCTAGCCTTCAACTCCCCAGAGAGGCTTTCTGACCCTCTCCTCTGCTCAAAACCACTCTGCCACCCCCCTCCATCCCGTAACGCTCTTGCTTGGAACCAGCTTTGACACCTTCCTCCTGCTGGCTCCGGTGCTCCAGGCGGGCAGGCGGTGCAACGCTGCGCCCACCGGCTCGGCAAAACCGAGGTGACGTGTGCGGGTGCGGAGTCCCCTCTCCCAGCATCACCTCATTCTTTGAATTATTTCAGCTTCCTCTCCTCTTGCCCACCAACATTCAGAACATTTATACTTTGTCCTACTCTGCCGGTTTTCGCCTTTTCCAGAAGACATTTACAACAAGAAGTGGCACAGCCAGCTGTTGGAAACCCGGGGCTGTGCTGAGGGTTGGAGTTTTAAACCTGATGTGTGACCGACTGCTCCATCTCCTGCAGCGTCAGCCGGCGAGACCTGTCCCCACAGCCAGGTCGCAGGCAGAGGACCAAGAGGACCCCTTAGTGCCTGGTTTTAAGGACAGGAGGACGATGACGATCATCCAGTCCAATGCCCTGCCTGATCCAGGCTGCAGAACCTCACTCCGTGACTCCCATGTCTCACCTGGCCATTTATAACGGAACATGACAATAAGGGTAAACCCCACCGTTTCCAGCCGTTTCGGATCGCTCCTGCCAAGCCCTAAGTTTAGTACCCGTCACAGAAAAGTCACTGCTTCTGCAGGACATCTCATTACCTTCCTCCTCTCTTCCGCAGCCTCCAGCCTCCTCTGCAGCTCCTCCAGGGACAGGTCCTTCTTCTTGGGAGGGGAGGAAAGGATCGGGCTCTCGGGAGATAAATCTGAAGGGGACTTCAGGATCACTTCGAAGCTCTGGCCTGATGCCCTCTTATCCAGCTGCTTCACCTCCATATCTTTGGGGGGAAAGAAAACCAGAGGCTCTGTGGACCTGTGACCCTGAGGAGAGCGCTCATCTGAGGGCACCGAGCTCTTCACATGGGAGTTAGGGGGTTCCCATGTCCTGACCTGGCTGGTTTTGTTCTACCTCCAAAATTTCCCGATTAGCGATCAGCTTCACCCCCCCCCGCCCCACCCCTCCAAGTCAACGCAATTAATAATTTAAATTCACAGCATCATTACAGAAAGGCCGTATTGCTGTTAACATCTTGTCTGCCCCCCCGGCACGAAGCAGCCAGCCTCCGCCGGCAGTTTCTTTCTGGGAAAACGTGGGTTACGTTAATAAAATAAATATGAAAGGAGGCTAAAGAGAAAGACCCCAGGTTGAGCCATGGACCGCTGCTCCGGGCTGGGAGAGCCCAGCTCCCGCCTTGCCTGAGG